CAGCCTTAATTCTGCCCTGTTTGGATTTTCTTCCAAGTGAAGTTATTGTAGCGTGTGGTGAGTTGAAAAGTTTAAAGAAGTGCAGCAAATAAATTCTATTTCTAAATCGAAATGAATATTAAAAGTTTGGCTATAAAACATAAAGAACAAAACCTAACATTTTAAATATTTAACACCTTTTTAGATTCCATTTTGGTGAAGACTGACTGCCTGTTCTCATCAACTAATAATTCTTAAAGTTATTTACAGGAACAGTGAAAAAAGGACAATTCAGTAAATGCCTCTTAAATTTGTATGTACTCAAAAAAAAATCACAAAATAACTGTTTGGTATGTAAATACAAGAAGTGTGTTTGGTGCAATCCAAAAGCATTTTCAGCTCCCAGTATGACAGAAATCTTTGCTTATTTTGATTAAGATAGTTGAAAATCACAAAAAATTGAAAAGTTCCCTGCAGGCCATTTTCTTCTGAAAAAGATTTTTCTCTTTAAATTATTTCACTCATAGTGTTTTCAATAACCAAGAGAACAAGGAACTAGAGTAGTTCTCCTACCTAAAAATAATTTTCTGTCACTTCCACTGCCAATAATAAAGCATTCTTTCAGTGAATGCTTTTCTCTAATTAATGCTTATTTGGATTAAATATTTCTAAAGGGTTTTTTTCCCCGTTCTTGTAATTTATTATTATTATTGTTATTTTATTATTATTGCATAACACAGTAAGCTCTGCTCTGGCACAGAGGGCTCTGCTGCACTACTGAGCCAGGTTCCAGCAGCGTTGGAATAGTGGAACAGTGAGAGAAACAAAATGTTACAGTTCTGGTAGAAACGAAAAACACAAGAAAAGGGTCTTTCTGACCACCTTCTCTAGAGTTAGTTGGACTTCCCTGTGCTGCCAGCATGGCTGGGTTTTAGAACAGCAAAGTGCATTTAGCTGTGGATTTGAGAGAACAAGATTTGCTGTTTAATGCAATAAAAGCTGTCCAAACTGATTTCCTGCTGTTAATAGTACAGCTTAATGTCAAAGGACTTTTATGCCATAGATTTATGGTAATTACCAACCCATTGGTTATTCCAATTGATAAGGACGAGGCTGTGGGAGTTGGAGACAACAGGGAGTTAATCTTATGGAAATACTTCCTTTCACTTGTTACTGTTGCCATTATGCACTTTGTTTTATTTAGCAGCCAAATCCTTCAAGGTTTTTGGTTACTTTAAAAACTGGGGGTTTTGAATAAGGAATATAGACTTTCATAGAAATAATTACAACTTTTAGACTTTAATAATTACATAGAAATAATTATGACTTGCTGTCAAGAAGACTACTGTCTTCCTCTCTTTCTATACTTTTATTTCCTTATCTCACCACTACCATTTTAAAGTGAAAGTAGGACTATTTCCTTAACAAGCTGTCAATGAAATTTAGTGGCCTAAATGGCAGATCTATCTTGCTTTAATATCATTTTAGTCTTTCATTCTCATTCCTGCTATGAGTATCTTTTGTCTTACAGTCCAGTTTATACTAATAATTTTTCCCTCATCTTGTTATGGTGTAGACCTAATTTCTGCCTGGTTTTGTTTTGTTTTCTCGTTGTCCTTTTGAAGCAGCTATGCCATGTTACCACACTTACCTGCCCAGAGTATGGAAGCACTGCAGACTGCAGGCCCTGACATACGGTGAGTCTCGTGGCCGTGGATGTTTATTCTGAGCAGTGGGATCATGAGCTTTCTCAGAAAGCCATTGCCTGTGTCATTTTGGCTTTCAGCTTTTGGCAGTTCACTCCCAGAACAGCTTTGTGATTAAAAAGTTAGTGAAGTAACCTGACTGGGTGATGTAATGGAGAAGAGTGGAGGGGCATTAATGCAAACACCCTGTAAGTCATTGCACAGAACAGTTCTGGTACTTTGAACCATGCTGTGCCACTTTTTATGACATGAATATGTGAAACTATAGAAGTTTTGGTTCCTTACTTGATCTATGTCCTTCCTGCCTGAGCGACTGGACATTTGGTGCTGAAACTTCCTTCTGTTCTTTTTCAGTGCAGGGATGGCAGATATAAGAGCTGTATTTTAAGTTTATCTGTAAATAGAAAGTATGATAAATAGTTGTGTCTTAGAAATTTGCTGGCAGAAAAGGATTAATCTTTTTCTATCAGTAGTTGATAAATAGAGCTGTAAACTAGTTATAGAAAAAGACTGGGTTTAAAATTATGTGTTCAGATACTCTGGCAGTTGAGTTTGTGTCAGCACCAGTGTGGGCTGCAGCAGTTTTGGCTCTGTGTGTGTACCAGAGTTCACTTCCTGGGGCAGTATCTGTGAACTGCATTGCTTTTCGTGCCCATATTGCAGTGTAGGAACATCACTGAGAGCAGGGAATGCTCTGCAGTGTCAGCTGGGTATTAATCTACATGTGTTCCCTTCTTCCTCTGTTACAGTCTGGAAGCTTCATTCCCACTCCCGTTACCAAAGCCTCCCACACTTCCAGAGTCACTGCCATCCCCCCCCAGGCTTTCAGGATCCGAGCTCCAGGTCCGTGCCCTTGATGAAGCCGATGGTCCCGTTCCAGCCTGTCTGAGACCCCAGGATGACACAGAACTGAAAAAAGTGAGCTCATTTTATATTGTAGGTCTCTCAGACTCTTGGGTCTCCAGAACTCGAAGCTGCTGCTGCTGCTGAATATTAACCTTGTAACTGTTAAAGATGAGAGGAGAAAACAGGCTGCAGGGTCTGTTCTGTGCTGCTGCTCTCTTTGATTCATGCAGAAAGAAGGTGGCAAATCAGAGAGGAATGTTTAATCTATAGATAATAGCATAATAGGTAATACTCAGCATATGGATATACTCAGCATAAAAGGGAATTCTGTTGACTGCTGTGGTTGTAATTTTCTTCATTTTAACATTTTTTTCCCTTCTTTTTTTTTTTAAGACTGAGCCAGAAAAGAGGCCAAAGAAAGTCTCAGAGATCCGAATCAGGAAAACTGTTCCCAAGCCGGACACTAACCTTACTCCAATGGGACTGCCCAAACCAAAAAGGTGAGCAGTGTCTCTGAAATGGACTCAGACAAGCTCCTGCTGCTTACATTTCCTGCATATGAGTACAACCACCTCAGTAACTGCTTCTCTTACCATCACTGTTTTGTACAGCCCCAGCTGAGTGATGTCTGATGTTTGCTGTCAGCTCTATCAGAACTACTCACTGAGGTTTGGCCAAAATGGGGAAAACTCAACTGCAATGCAATGATTTTTCTAAAGAAGAAAGAAGTTTGTTTTGATAAACATAGATTGGAAATCAGTCATTCTGCAGTGCACAGAGATGAAGTGATCTGTTGGAAAGTGATCTGTTGGAGTTCTTCCCAGTTCCTTCCTTGTTTGTGGCATATGATCTTAGGGAAGTGAGGGTAATCACAGTGCCAAATGTTGATAAAGCTTTTCCAATCAGTCATCTGGTATTTTGTTCACTTTTGTCTTAAACACAAGTGGCAGCTTTGACAAAGGAATGCATTTCTTCAGAGATCAGCTTGAGAATGGTCAATAACTAAAAGGAGTCTCAAGAGATAAAGTGTTGATCTGTTAGACTTGAAGATTTTTCTTAGCTTTCGCCAGAAAGGGACCTGTGAAGGCATTTCCCCTTCTTCTTTTGAGCTTCATTATTTCAAAGCATCACAGAATGCTAGAAGGAATACTGACCTCTGCAGAAAGGGCAAGTCTTGACCCAGACCTTGTAAAAACACTGCATGAAATTAGGTCCTTAATGAGCTCATTTTTCGTTCCTCCCTGTCCCCAATTAAAGCACAGTTAGTCAGCGTTTAGGCAGAGAACTTGTACTTGTTTCTCATAAATCTGCTTGCTGGGAAGAGAAGTGGGTTTGAAATTCTTCTTTCTTGATTGATTTGTCATTACTTTTTTTCAGGCTTAAGAAGAAAGAATTTAGTTTAGAAGAAATTTACACAAACAAGAACTACAAGTCCCCTCCTCCAGCCAGGTTGGTTCTGCTTCCTAATGAGAAAACTAAGATGAATATAAATTAATTAGGCAGAGAGAGAGAGGAGATGAAACATGTCTGAAAGCTGAGAGGGAGATAGGTTTTTAAAATTGCTCTACTTTAAAGTGGTAGAGAAAGTTAATTCAAAAATAGCATCTCTTACTATTTGGATGGAAAGCAGTAAAATAGAATATGAACTAAGAATTTGCAGCTGGATTTGTATATTTTTTTCATCTACTCATTGATTCCAGTCTCCATCCAAGTGAAGTAATTACTTTTTCAGAATTCAAAGGGAACTACGTGTTCTTTAAAATATTAATGTCATCAGATGTTCAAACCTATTTATTCTATAAAATAAAGATTCTATAATTGAGCTGAAATGCAGATAGAGATTCTACCCCAGTGTCTCTGCAGCAGTGAGGAATTAGCTGGCAGTAACGTGCAGTGGCAGGAGGTGGATAATATTCATTACAGGAGGTGTGGAGGGGCTGTAAAAATGTCAAATTAAAGCAGCTTTACTTGGGTTATGAAATCCCCCAGTGTCCCTGTCCATGGAAGGAGGCAGCTGCTGCTGCTTGAGTATTCACCAAGTGTTCCCTGCTTTTACCAGGAGCTTGGAAACAATCTTTGAAGAGCCCAAGGAGAAGAATGGACACTTGATTTCTGTCAGCCAGCAGAAGAGAAAGCGGATTCTCGAGTTCCAGGACTTTACTCTTCCCCGGAAAAGGAAGACACGAGGCAAAGTCAAAGCAGTGGGTTCTTTCACCCGAGCCAAAAGGGCTGCACTGCAGAGTGCAGAGCTGGATGTGCTTCTGAGTCAGAAGCTCATGGCCCTTGAAGCCTTTTTTGCAGAGGAGGTGGAGCAGGAGCAGGCCTCCGGCATCTGAGGGAGCCACGGAGCTGGGAATGGTCCAGTCAGCCTCTGGAGTATTTTCCTCTGGGGAGAAATCTACTGACTTCTTCATGCATTACTCTGCTCTAACATCTGATAATCAGTTTTTGGCTGTGACCCTCTCTAAGGTGCTATTTTGTTTTTTATTTTTTTAAATGCTATTGGAGGGATTCTTTTAAGTCCCTATTGGAGTGTAACACAGCCACATAAAATTTACCCTTCCTTCCTCAACCTCTGGAAAATACTGCTTATATTTAATTAATTATGTTTAAACACCTTTTGGGGGTAGAGTAGGAGTGTAAAGGAGGAAGTAGTGCACTTTCAGTGATGCTAGAACTCTGTACTCCAGATCATTTGCACATTTGAGTCTGCTGTTGTTACTGTAATTAATGGCTGTTTTGAACAACGTGACAGAAGAGATGCAGTGTTTGATAAAGGTGAATTCTAGCAAACACATTCTTGATATACCACTAACTTTTTAATAATTAAACGTAGCTGTCTGGGTTTGCATTCAATTGTTTCTTCCTTCTGTTGACTTAGAAGGTTCCTTCTGAGTTTCTGTGCCCTTCCTGGCTCCAGGCAGCAGAAGCCTCACATAACTAGACTTTATATAACTTGCACTTTGTATATGTTTCTTTATTTGGTGCATGAGGACACCTTTTAACATTATTAAACTCAAAAAAGGGTAATGTTTTAAGGAAAAATGGTGCCCAGTACTACTTTTTCCCAAATAGTAGATTTTTTACTTACTTGGCTGATGCCAACCTCTTCTCCAGAGGAAAAGCCCATGAGGATGTTAAACTGCAGGATACATAAGCAGAGATTTCTGTTTAACTGAGCTGCTGCATGTAGAGAATACCAACAAAATCTTTGGGCTTTGCTTTAAAGTTATTTTAAACCCATTGAAAATATTAACTTAATGGCAACAAGAATTTTTTTTCCCTTCTTGAGGGGTTTTTTACCACTGTAGATTTTTAATTCCTGTAGCTCTTAACTGGATCCTCTCTGTACACACTGTTGTCCATAACAGCCAGTGCTGCACCAAGAGCCTCCTGGCACGTGGACATTTTTTATGTAAGGCCATTTGTAACCCCCTGATGCAGCTCTGGGCAATTTCTCAGCTCTACCTTTTGAAGGAAGAGAGCTCCCTTCTGGCATAACTTCTGTTACCCTTACTTGAAGCATAATTCCAGGTGAATGCCAGCTGCAGTTCAGGTCATTGTCCCTTAGTGCCTAGAGGAGTTATTCAGGCAAAGCTGTCATTCCTGGGATGCTCAAATTGAATTAGTCTGTTCTTTCTTTCACTTGAACTTGCACTTTCTTATTTACCTGCCCATGTAATAGAGTTTCTATTGACCTTCAAACTGAGCAAATATCTAGTGGGTGGGTATTTTTTATAAAGTCCCAATAAATGCAGGACTGAAAATACTATAATCATCTTCTGTTGCTCTACCACTTCTGTTACTGACCAAACAGAAAACTAAAAATTATCAAGCAATCTGTTGAATTTCAGAGCTTTGAAAGTAGAGAAATGGAAGAGGATTATTACACTGTGTGTGCCTGAGTCTTGAAAGAAGTCTAATCTGGTTGGTTTTGCTTCCAACTTATGTGCTGGGATTCCCAAAGGTTTACATTCTTGTTTTTAAGGGTAATTATCTTTAATCAGGAAGAGTGAAGAAAAGAGAGGAGTGCACACTTAGAGGAGCAGGGTTTGGAGTTTGAGGGTAAAGTAACAAGGCAGGCAAAGTTTGAACATATTGACATACTATTTTTCTGGTTAAGCTGTTAAGCTGCTGTAGAACATTCTAATCCTCTTTATTTTTGTAAAAAGAAATCCCTAAAAAACAAAGGTTGACTGCCTCCTAAAAAAATGTTTGAAACTTTCCCTATCCTGGTTTATTAGCCCAATTATGGATTGGTTGGAAGTGGTAGCAAGAGTGAGAGATATATTTTTATGGATTTATGCTATAAAATCGGATTGTTAGAGAACATTCATTCACCTTCTATTAATATGGGAGGCTTCCAGTGCTGTGACACAATTGAGCTGTAACCTTACTGGGGGCTTTAAGGAAATAAAAATACGGGTGGGGAGGGAAGAAACTTGGGTCCAGGAAAAGTTCAGACCTCTAATGTACTTTAAAACATGGAATGTGTTAGGTTTTTTGCTTTGGGTTATGTTGGGGTTTGTTTGTTTTGGGTGGGGGTTTTTTATCTGCCTCTCTGTTCTGTCTTGTCTCTGATTGCTTTGAAAGAACATTTCTTAGCTTTCTTTCTACAAGCTACAGCAGAGAGAGCAAAGAAAACACTCAATTCTCTTTGGTTTACAGTAATTGAAGGAGTTACAAAAATGTTGCAGTTGCTTAGCCCGTCCCAGACCTTAGTTTGTGGCAACCCAAATATCCAGCATTATTCTCTTTTGGTTCAGTGTCTGTATGATGATGTGAGCTAATGGAGACCAAACATCTCCCCCCTCCAGCAAACAGGTGTCAGTTGTGCTTGTGCACTTTTTTCTCTTTTCCTTTCCCACCTCTGTTGCTGTTTACAGCACTCCTGGAACAGCCTGTTCCCTGGGGCTGCTGCTTGCACACTGGGAGTGGGGACTGTGCAAAAGCTGGGCATTGGCCACTCTGAGCTGCTTCTGTCACAGAGAACTGCAAGAAAAAAGGATAGAGGGTCTGTAGCTGGAGGAGATGTGCATTTGCCTTTTCATCAAGTGAACCCACTCCAGTGAGGATTTTTTTGTATCACCATGGACAGACATTGTATATCTTTGCTCACAGAGTGATGACTAGAGCAGCTCGAGAAGGCTTGCAAAGCTTTTGCCATGTCCTGTCTCTTAGTAGTAAGTTATGGAGAGCCAGGCAGCTCTTTGCTAGATTTGCTGATTATGGGAGATAGAAAGATCACTTTCCAAGAAAAAAAAAATGTTATTTTCATCATGCTATGGCTGGAGCAGCTGAGGCTCCTTAATGTATGGTACAGCATTAGCCTGGCTGGCCTCTTGGCTGTGTACATTTGAGTTCTGATGATTGCTGGATATGAATTCCTGCCAGCAGTTCTCATTGTATTGGATTACAGGTGGGCCTTTGGTATATTATGTTCCAGGTGCTTTTCTAGCATATGGATGATAACTGTGGATTGAAAATCTGTATGATGCTATCAAGTTAACTAATAGCTCCATGAGAATTTGTACACTTGTGCCATTAGCCTCCATCATGCTCTTGGCATTTTGTTTCTGTTCAATATTGTGTGAATCTAAAATTTTACTGTTTCTTTTGTGTGTGTTTTTAATTTATGGAAATAAATTTTTCTGAGAACCTTTCAGTTTTTTAAGGCCTTCAGGCTTGTGTGGGTAAACATGCATGATACATGTCCTGCACACATGGGGGAAAGAGGTCAAATCTCCAAAGAGATGGACACTGTTAAGTAACAGGGTGTTGGTGAGGCACAGAGCAGCAGTTCTGGTGTTCCTTCATCCACAGCCACACCTGAAGAGGAATTTTAAGCATGATTTTAAGCATGATCTATTCACAGCATTGAGGCTGCACCCATCTCTTGAGACAGCAGACTAGTAGGAGCCCGAGAGCACGGCCAGTTCCTGCTCTGCTCAGAGCTGAGATTCCAGGCTGGAGCTGGCCAGTGGTCCAGGCTGTGCAAGGCAGCACCTGGGAATCAGAGCTGGAGCACAGGAACATCACCAAGGCCTGTACTGTCTGTGTCAGAAAATGGCATTCCTGCCCTTCCAACCCCTAGAATGCTGTGTATAACCCAGATTTTCGATTGATCACTGATCAGCTTGGCAAAGCTAAGCTCTGGGTGCATTTCTTCACTGCTCTCAGAACTGCCTTCTCCGAGGTGCAGTATTCCATGGGCCCCGCAGAGGGCATGGAAGCTCCAGGAAGGAAAGGCAGGGAGCACCTCAGAGGCTAAGGAAGCATCCTCCTATTCCCCTGCTCCTTCAGGGCTACAGCTCTTTGGCTGCAACACAGTATCCGAGGATTTGGCTCTGTTACCAGACTTGCTTTACTCACCATTTAGCCATTACCTTTACCTTTCTGGGAAAGGTGGAGGAGTTTGGATTTGGGTCCTCTCGTTGGGTTAGTCGGTGTCAAACAATGGCACAAACACGATGGAGAGCAGTCTCAGCTCAGATGCACTGAATCCTAAACACTTTATAGTCAGAGTGCAAAGTTTTTCCTTCTCAGGAAGTGAAAAGGGGCAGAAGAGGTGTGACTGTAAGTCACACAACAGGAAAGACAAGCTGTTTAAAACTTGTTGGAAGAAACTGTTTAAAGCCAGGTGTTTTTAGCAGCATTTTTTACAACTGAGTACGGCTGCCTGGCTTTGCTGGTTTTGGTGGAGGGGTTTTTTATGTCTTTCCTTTATATGGCAGATACACTGGCTTTATTGTCTGCACTAGTTGCATCTCATTTATTAATAGCTGAGGTTTATACAACTGCAACATACGTAGCAAGGTCTGGAAAGTTTTGAGTGAAGGATTTTAAATTATTTTGTTAATTAAAAACTTAACCTTGTCTGAGAGCAGAGGGTGGTAACACTCACAAACTGAAATGAGCCTGCCCATGAAGAGCCATCCACTCTCAATCTTCATCCACTAACAGCCACTTTCTGTTTGTAAAACCCATGCTGTTTAATTGATAAGTAATATTTTGACCATTCATAGAATCTTATATTCAAAGTGTCAAAGTACTAAAAAATAATGGTTGGAGGTTTTGAGAAGAATGAATATCCATTGCTTTTTTTTTTTCACCTTAAGGCTGCAAGCATCCAGTTCTGCTGGCTCTTAAATGCCTTAATACATTTATTTGTGAGAAAAAAATTGGTTTCATTTAGTAGTAAAAATCCTTGGTTAAAAAAGCAAATACATTTTCCCAGTTAAAAGCAGAAAAGACCACTGCTCTGATAGTAACTACATATACAGCCTATGGCATATGTGTGCATTCTGCAAGGACTATCTGGCTGCAACCAAAATCACAGATACAGGAGGACAACGCTGCAGTTACCAAAATGTCAGTTGACTGGGGGTGGGGTTTGCATGGAAACTCTTTATAAGACAACAAGGCAAACTGCTACCAACTAACCTGTGCTACTGATGCCAGTCTGTATTTTAGTCCATGGCCCTGCTATTTCCACAAAAATGCTGATTTCTCCAGAGTAGTTGTAGAAAATTGCTGATCCTACTTCTGTGCTCTGGCTGTGCTGTTCTCAAACAGGAAAGGGGTAGTTTTACATTATCATAAACTTCAAAGCTGCTTAAAAAAAAAAAAAAAAGACAAGAAGGTATTCAGCATACATTTCTAGATATGCCTGTTTCCTTGCTGATTGCTTTGGATGGGTTGGACTTGCACATTTCCTGGTTTTCAATAATGATGGTGATGTGGTGATGTGCCTTGAACAGCCTCTGTATCACTGTCAGTTGGATGAGGATGCACAGATATCCTGTTTGCAGAAGTCCAGGATGCCTGCAAACCAGAAAGAAAATACCTAAAGATGCTATCAGCTTTAAAAGTAATAAATTCTTCAAGTACTATTCGTTAAAATAGAGGTAAAATTTCCCTTTTGAATTTCAGTTCTTTAACAACTTAGACTCCCAGAAGTCTAATTTCATGTGTAACCCTCATTTACTTCAATACAGATTTTCAGATCCATAGGCAGTGCCAGTTTTGCTGACAGCTAAATGCACACTTCACACTTCAGACAGTTTTCAGTGGAAAATAATGAAAAAGCCACCTTAAGGGATGAGTTTATAAAGGTTTTGATCTTAACCCCTATAGTGTGATCTTTTTAAAAAGGAAATTATTTAACTTATTTTGAGGTTAATTCAAGAATTAAATATAAAATTTCTTATCTTTTTCCCCAAGTTTGGCATATACAAATGAACATTATATGTCCTTTTTCCTGAACTGATCCCTGGAATTGAAGGGGAAAAAATTCAGAGTGAGAGTAAAACAGTCCTATTTCAATAACCTCATATTTGCTCTACAAATGTGTTGGTTATTCTGTTTCTGCAAAGCTCCACTTTCAGTGCTTTGAGATAGGAGCTTTAAGAAGTTCTAAAGGAGCTCCAAACACAGGACTCCTTGGGAAATTATTACTAACAGGATTATGCAGTACATACTTTCCCATGCAGCCTAAACAAAAGGGCAAGAGCTGTGCACAGAGGGCTGCCTGCTGCATTTCTCTCTAACTCAGAATTTAGGACTTGACTTTACCTGCAGGTGTGCAATTAAACACTGATTCTGCCAGCTGGATGAAAGAATCTCCAAGGATTTCCTGATAGCTCAGGTGACTTGCAGGAACAAGGTACTGAGTAGCATCTTTGAAAAGCAGATCACTTCCACCGAACTTCCACGACTGAAAGAGCTGGAATTCGGAATCCAATTTGCTTCCCAGAGATTCCTAAACAGAGAAGAAGTAAGTTTCACAGCTTGGATCAGAAGTAGAAGGTTAAGCTGGTGACTCTCAATTTTAGATATAGCAGAAAGAAGAGTCCACAATTATCTAGCACCGTCCTTATTGGTACAAGAAGATGCAGTTTTGCAGTGCCTTATTTTTCAGCAAAAGTGTGGCCACTGCTGAATGGGAACTGGTGCCAAAATACCCCTTTAGAGAACCCAAATAATTATTTTCTTAACACCCTCTGCACATTTTTAATTCTTTCGTACTGGACCTGAAGGCACTTTAATGTGCGTAGTATAGAAAGCTTTTGATCTTGACAGGGTTTTCAGGAGTTGTGCATAACAGGTGATAACAAGCCAAGCTTTTCCCTGCTCCCTGCCTTACCTGGGATTGCATCAGGAAGTCGTAGATCTTAGTGACAGTGACTGGGCGAGTCATGACAGTGCTGGGGGGGATGGGGCCCAGGTGACACCCTGGCCACTCCGTGACTGCGGCGCGCGTCCCGTCCGGGCACAGCAGCTCAAAGTCAAGGGCGGTGTAACCTTTTGCCCAACCAGAGCTGTCCAGATCTAAAAAGAAAACGAAGTGAAAGCAAATCCTTTTTCAAAAGTAAAGCAGAAGACAGGGTGAATCTCATGGAAAATGTCAAAAATGGAGAGGAAGAAGCTTAGTCAGTGTGTTCCAAACAGATGCAGCGTCTGTGTGGTCATTTATTGGGAATGCACAAGGACCAGGGTAGTGGTTGCACTGAGGAAACAGGTCAGTGAACTTAAGCTGTGCCTATCAACTAAAACCACAGTAATATCAAGGCCTATCATGTCTCCCCTTCATCTGTGACCAGATCCCTTTCTGGACACAAAGCACTTTGGCCTGCATGTCCTTTTCTTCCCCAAACAAACTGCTCATTGCTGCACGAATTCCTGGGGTTTTCCAGACCCTTACACCCCCACTTGATCTTAGAGAGATTCTTCTCTTCGAGAAGTCTTTTCTCTTACTGAAATTGCCTAAAATAGAATTTCAGTGTGCTTCATCAGGCTGAACAAAATGAGGATTCCCTTTCCCCTCGACTCTATGAAAAGCATGTTTGGGCTGTTAGAGCAGTAAACATCATTTAAGAGACTGAGGGGATTTAAGCTCCTGCAACCAAAATCATTTTGATCAACAAAATCCAATTGCCAGACTGTTGCAAAGACCAGTGTTTCCCAGAGGAAATTAAATATTTCACAGTGTAGTAACATTGCTATTTTAGAAACTGTGAAAGGCAAAATAATTTGCAGTGGTTTTGCCTATTAAGCTGTTAGACCTGTTTATCCCATAACTGCCTGTGAAACAATACAAGAAGTTGCCATGTCACAGTGAAGCCACAGAACATCTCCCAGCACAAACACCCACAGCACTGCCCTTACCTGCCATTTTCATTCTGGAAACTCAGATTTAAAACCAGTGGGTAGCTGCACTTTGGCTGCCTGTGGGAGAAGGGCTGCTGGGAAAATCCTCTGCTTTTTAAAGCTTTGAGCTTTCCAAAAATTAGTGCAGTCTCCAAGGATGACTATCCCCCAACACACACTGATCTTTGCACTCAGGAATTCTTCCTCTTTCCTCTCTAACAGTATCTGAGTGTTGAGCTTTACTGGAACACCCACATGCAGGAAGGTTCTTGCAGTTTTCTGGTCACAAACACCACTCTGTGGACCCAGATTAAACCTGTAAAGGCTGATCCTCACAAGTGATGGTCACTTTGTGGGAAGTGACTGATGCTAATGAACATTCTCAAAGGGAAAGAGAATATCTGCATCTCACCTTCTATGTTCTGGAGCAGGTTAGAGTGTTCCAGGAAAGCT